TTTTTTTTATTTTTTAAAATAATTTTGAAAAAAAACAAACAAACAATATCATCCCTTTCAGTTGAGTTGTGTAGTATAAAATTAACATTGAAGATATGAACAAGTTGGAGGAGTCTTGATTTTAATTTTTATGTACTAGTTGCTCTTCTTAATTAAATCTTAACTACTAACATTAATTATCAACCTAGACACATTCAAAAAGAAAAGGAAAATTAAGAACCTTAACTAATAAGTACTGTAGTTTGTTTGGTAAAAGTAGTGGCCTGTTTTAAGTTTTCTGATTAATTATTCGACTTGTGAGATCATTTATTACTCAATGCCTGTATTAATAGTCAGATTGATATGCTTTACCAAACGTTAAATAAGAGTTTATTACATGGTGCGTACAGAGAACTGTCTATTTTTATATTTTAAAAATAACTTTGAAATTTTTTGATATATTAATTTATGTTTTAAATTAATATTTATTTATATTTCCAGATCATTTTGATATATTAATATTAAAAATAATTTTTTTTTAAAATATTATTTTAATTTATTTTTTAAAAATATATTTTAAAAAACAATTATTACCGTATTTAAGTTCATAATTAATAAGGTTTGGATAAATACAGTTCACCAAGTGTTTATTAATTCCATTGTATCATTAATTCTCTAAGCTATTGATATATAACATCACAACTCTTTTAAGGAAATTTAATGTATTCTACTATATATATATATTTATTTATTTTTATCATTTGAATATACTCGAATTAATTTGCTTATTAATCAAGATCCTATGAATTTATTAAACAAGGTTTAAATAGAAGAAGTGAATCTTGAAAGTCTATAAAACAATTTAAAGTGGAATGGGATCAAGTCCTTTCTGGTTATTAAAAAAAAAAATTCAAATCCTTTCGCAATTTGTGACAGCTTTTTATAGTTGTAGATGTAATTCAATACCATTGACTATATAAACTAGATCTAATAATGATGACTTGGGATCTAGATCTTTATATATATATAGATATATAATCAACTGTCTTTGAAAAAAGAAAAAAAATTAAGATAGTTTTGGTTAAAAAATGGCAATAGTGAAATTAGTTACAACACCAAGGGCTGATATGAAAAATTGGATTGACATATAGCTAAGATAAGAGAACTTTCAGTTGTTCCTGTTACTCGAGGAGCCCTTTCATTAATTTGGAGATGGAGTTAGCAGTGCACGCTTTGTCATTCACCTCCTTCTCCAAGAGTAAGTACTTCAAATAAGCTCTGTCCTGATATTAATATACAACTCTAATTGCTCTACCTGTAGCTGTTTTTGTAGTTACAAGTTGCTGTAAATTTTGAAGGTAGTTGACAAGTAGTGTCTTACAATAATGAGAAGCTCATTAATGAAATAAACCCATTAAAGATATGGCCATGGAGGCTTTTATGAGGTGGTTGTTTCTTCTCTTACTTGTATTTTCAGCATCATTTTGATGAGGGTTACCTTATTTACGTTAAACTTTATGAAGGAAGGTCCTTGTTGCAATGGCTTCTATTACTTGTCTTTGGATTTTAAAGCTAATTAGAGTTGTTGTGGCTGTTATAGAAAACCCCAGAAAGGGGGACACTGTATTTAATGTTGAGTGCTTGAAGAGGTTTCTATAATTTGATGGGTAGAATGAATGTCATCTTTTTTCTTGGTTCTGTTTGGAAATACACAACATGAATTCTTGGTTAAGTATTAGGTGTGCTAAAATGCAGAACAAGAAATGTTGGCTTTGATTGCTGAAAAGTGTTGGGGGTTTTGAGGGTTTGCATTTATGTTGCTTCGAGATAAGTGCTTCAATATATTGGGGTTTTTAGCCCCACTTTCTGGAGTCTAATGGCTACATGAATAAGTTGTTGATTCTTTTAGGATTGTGCATTTGGGTTGTTGCTAGTGCAGTTTTGGACTTTGATGAGGGTTGTGGTTTATTATCTAGGGGTTGGAAGGGAAAGTGCCTTTAATTGGTTGGCCACTGGCCAGAATTTATACTTCAATAATTCAATCAAATAAATACAGACAAGTTGGAATAAAGATTTTTCTCATTTGGGTTAATTCTAGCTCTGGTTTTAATACCTGTTGTTGTTCAGACACCAACATTGTAATTTTATACCTTTTGTAGTTCAGTATGTCTAACACCAACATTGTAATAAACCCTTTTATCTTTTTGAGCTAAGAAACTGTCTTTAAGGCTTTACCCTTTTGAGCCTCTTGTAGAATGAACTCCCCGAATCTAATTGATTCCATGTATTAACAGTACCCTATCAGCATTAGTTCTATGAAGTAAATAGGATTGAATATGGTTTCCCTGGATTTTTGTTGTAGTGAAAACTTTTTGAAGCGATTTGCTGTTACTTTGTCCTGAACGACAAAGTTCTCTTAGATATTAATGATGACGGAAATCAGTTGCAAGTATTGTTCTTGGATATCAATGTTGATATTGAGTCTGTAATGGTAAAGGCTCTCCTGGTGATAGTGATAGCATTAAAACACCAAGTACAATAAAACTAATTTCTAAGAAACCTCCATTAAAAGAGAAGAAGCCATGTCCAGTCATTTGATATTATCATTCTGAATTTCCATTTGTATTTTTAGGTTAAATAGTAAATAATATTTGGGGATTGGGGTGCTTGTTGATTATCTTTGATCTTGTGAAACAGACAGGGAGTCCAAGCCTCAAGGTCGTACCATACCAGATCCTGCTATTTGTTCTTCAATTGATGTGAAATTACAAGAACAAGGGAGAAAAACATCCACAGTATGCTATTCTGCACCAGAGACAGCTGCCTCTGTGGCAATTGCTGCTACAGCTGTGGGTGCTGCAATTACCCTTCTAGTGAGAAGAAACAAACCATCCGAGGCAGATGAGGTACATGTGTAATATAAAATGGCAAATGTTTATATTTGGGAAAGAGCATCGAAAATAGGATGTCACCATAGATTACTGAGGAAAATAGTCATGTTTTTGTAAACATAAATTATCAGCGAAACTATCTAGTAAAAATACACCATACTGTGCATGATTAATTGCTAAAAGCATGATATTTAACCATGCTTTATTTTCACGTTCAGTTAGTCAATTTCATGCCTATGAGAATTGTATTCAAATGGATTTCTTCAGTCAAAATAAGATAGATATATCCAATTAGAGATGTTACTTTAGTTGGGCAGCTGGGGAAAGAATTCTTATACAATGCATTATTTAACCATCAGGGTAATATTTGATTGCTTTATCACTTATTAAATTTGTTTAGAAGCTTCTTCAGTTTTCCTAGTACCTTTCTTTCAATACTTGTTTCATCAGATTCACAAACTAACCACAGTATGCCATGCTTCTTCAGCAGTTTTAAATTTTTAACAAGCAATGCACATTTAATTGCTGCTGCACCCACTGTTTTAGTGCCCCTACCAGCAACAGCCTTCTACTTTTTTATCTATATATGCCTGAGTCATTTCATATACCTTTTTATAATGCAGATTCCACTCAAAACATGTGAAGATTGTGGTGGTTCTGGTATATGTTCTGAATGCAATGGTGAAGGGTTTGTTCTTAAGAAACTGTCAGAAGAGAGTGCTGAGAGAGCAAGAATGAGTGCAAAGAACATGGCCACTCGATATACAGCAGGGTACATTTGAAGTCTCTCTCTCAATCTCTATCTTTGGCACACACACATACTTGCGCGCCCACACACGCCCACACACAGAAACAGCACAATCTTCATCATATGATTGATACAACGAGGTACACCTTTTCAGGCTTCCAAAGAAGTGGAGCTACTGTACAAAGTGCTCCTCTGCTCGATCTTGTAGCGCTTGTGGTGGCAGTGGAAAGTTGAACTATTAATTTTATGCCATATCTCTTTATTTCTAATTAATATCGGTGATTTAAGCTGCTTCAATGCCTAATTCTGAAAGAATACAAGGAACTCACGGTCAACGAAATTGGAAGTGAGTTCGTTTTTTCCCCCTGTACAATCCACCTTATGAGTAATGTGTGTATCTTAGTGTCAATTCCACTTTTCTTGTTGGGATTTTGCACAAGTATGATCTGTTATGTATTCAACCAATTGGTGATCGATATTTTTGATGTAGTAGTATTTTTCCTTGCTAATATCACACAAGTTCGCTTCTGAACTATCACATTATGAATTTTGAGGTAATGACTTTGTTCTTTTTGTTGTATGCTTGAGTTTTAACTGATCACAGTACGCACCAAGTTAAGCTAGCAATGCATACACTTTATGGTTACTATACAATGTGAACTTTGCTAGTTAGGATTAAAGGGTATGAGAGGGAAGAGAACGAAGCTTGTTGCGTTAGTTCTATGAGAGAGTTCCAAAGTCCTTGTTTCAGAACCACCTTCTATTCGGTGAACCTTTAGGAGAAATAAAAGTAGTTTTAGGAGACATAGATGCAACCTTCGGTTGAGTTGCAACCTTTGGAAAACGTTGTTGCTACACATGCCACCCTCAATAGCCATGGATGTCGCTTTTCTAACAAGAGCAAAGCACGAGAGATTTTTATGGAATTTTGGAGGATAAAACACTTTGATTGTGGATTTGTATGTAGATCTCTTTCATTAATAAATGAATTTCCGACAACAAGATGATTAGAGAGTAGCATCATTAGTCCTTGGAGTCTAAAAACCATCATTAAGATTTTAGAGCACATACTTTCTCGCCAAAGAAATATTCTAGACATTCAAGAGATTCATTTCTGTCAAAGTTGGTCCTGCCTCTATGGTTAAATTTTATTTCCAACAGTGCCTCTATCCTTCTATACTAGAAGGTTCAAATTCAATATCGGATTAACTTGAATTTATCAGTAAGCTATTACTTGTTTTTTCTCCTAATAGAATTTTCTTGATCCATTCATGTATACAGCTCTTATGGCTCTACACTTAGAAGAGAAATTCAATAGCAATTTCCATTGAGCTAACAATTTTACAACAGTCCAAATCTGTTATTTTGGATGTGAATAGAATTTGATCACTAATCTTTTGAGACAATGCCGAGTGATATTTTATCAATTGAAGTAGCTAGCATGCACTATGAGCATTTTTATGCTTTTTTGCTTGTTTCGGAATTGATGATTGGACACTGCAACGAAGAGTGTGTTTCTTCTGTGGCGCACCTGCTGCACAATTCCTGTCCATGTCCGGGAATGGAATAACCTAGGTAGCTCCCCTTTGAATCTTTTCCTTTTGATTACTTTGAATCTTTTCCTTTTGATTTTGTCCTGATTGGCAAGTCGAATATTCAAGATTCTGCTTGATACCCTAAATCTCACATCATTCAAGGCACTTCTTCGAGAAATGTATTTGAATTGCCTTTTGCTATATATTTATTTATCAAATCCAAGAAAATCCATTTGAAGTTCATTTGGCTTATGATTTTGTCATATGTTTAGTGATCATTTATCATCTGCATAGTGGTTCTACTTAATTTATTATATAATTTCTTCTATCATTTTAAAAAATCAATGACATCATGATGGTTTAGCCTTTTTATATTAGCCGTACAACTGCAGTAACTAGAGCCAAGTCAACTCCTCCACAAATACAGGAAATGATTGAACATCTCCCCAATATGATATTAGCTTAAATTCCTCACTTTATAATGCCATTTCCCATCATTCTCGGTTAAGCCTAGGGGTTGTGAGTTCGTTTAATTCCATAGCTTCAGAAGTCAACAAATAATTTTGAAGATATGAAATGAAGGTGCTTGAAGATACCAGGCTTAAACCTAAATATCAGGATCCTTGCATGGCGTGGATACCTTTAACTTAGATTCCAGCTGATAATTGAAATCAAGTCTACAAAGGGTCGAAAAAACAAGAAGAATACGGTAACAAACATAATGATGGAATTATTTCAAAGCCCTTTTCACTCCAAAAACCTGGCTTGCATCGTTCTTGATATTGCCTAGTGCCCAATAGAAGCATGGCCAACTCTTTGATCTACACACGGTTTGGTGTGGTACTTGGTGGTGTTGGTGCAGAGGCAATGCGCTTGCCACGTTCAGATCGGCTGTTCTCCGCAAACTTGAGGCTTTGCTGGTGCATGCCCTTTTGCTTCTCGTCCTCATCCCACTCTGATGCATAATAGGATTCTTCTGTTGACTTCACTGCGTCTTTAGAAGGCGGAAAGAACATGCCGCCCCATTGTGGGAAGTAAACCAACGTCACAGGGAGAGTGCAACCGCAAATCATGACACCCATCCAGGATAGACCTGCAGCTGTGGACAAACTTGAGCTCGAAAAGAATACTAGTTGTGTCAATCCGGACCCAAAATTTCCACCTGCACCAGTTAGGCCGGATATGATGCCCAATGATCGTCGAGAAATAAAGGGAATGATACCGAAAGTTGCTCCACAAGCAGCTTGAGCTCCAATAGAGAAGAGAATCATAGCGGTGACAGCAAGGGGAAGTGAATTAGCTCGACCGAGCCAAATACAGAAAACTCCTCCAAGTGTTTGTAAAATCCAGAGCACCCATAACCTGCCTCTCATCCCGAAGTACCTCGCTGCTACATCAGAAGAATATCCACCAAAGGGACGAGCTACAAGGTTAGCAATGACACCTGCTGTGTGAAGCTTTAGATCGAACCTATTAAACATGTCAACATAACTTTTGATTAGTCAACATATCACATGAGACGGCAGGGTGAAGATGCATACCATGATTGGTTCAAGAATCACCTGTCATAGAAGTACTCGGCGATAACATTGTCGGTGGATAATTCAACTCCCATGGAGTAGCCATATAGAAGGACAAAGATCCAGGTCCTATAGTTTGTAACAGCATACCAAAGTACCTGAACAAGAGATAAAACACATTGAATAATTAAGATTTAATGTTTGTTTTTTTACTTTGAGGTATGAGCGTTAATGGAGAGTGGGTATAGAACTTAAAGAAACTGACCTTGAAGAACTTATCTTTAGCAACATCACCCGTCTTCTTGAGGGCTCCGAGATTCCCGTCAGGCAAGTCTTGGCCTAGAGTCAAGACCAAGATTCCCGTGATAACATGAAGCCATCCTGGGAAAAAAAATGCTATCCTCCAAGCACTGAATGAAGTTGAACCAGCTCGCTTAATGAGCTCGTAGACCAAGGGCATTACGAGCTGAGTTGCACCTCCACCCATATTGCCCCAACCGGCTGCGGTTCCATTGACAAGTCCTATAATCTTGCTGTTAAACATTGTGCTCATCCAGTACTGGCATGACACAAACGTTGCAAGAGAGAATCCAATCATGAAACGGACTGCTAGGTATCCTCCAGCTGAGTTCACAAACGACATGCAAAACACAGTTGGGGCTGAGAGCATGATCAGAAACGCACACCCATATCGCGGCCCCAAGAGGTCACAAACTGCACCCATTACAAGCCTAGAGAAGATGCTTCCAGAGACAGAAGCAACCCCAGCATTACCAATGTCACTTTTGGTTAAATTGAGGTTGTCCCGAATGATAGGAACAAGGGGTGCTGCAGCAAAAGTGGAGACAAAACAAGTGAAGAAGGATATCCATGAAAGGTGAAACGTTCTCATATGGGGGTTAGCAAAAGAGAAAATCTTGAACACTTTGGCCTTGTGCTCAGAATCAACTGGCAAGGCAAAATTTGCTGTTGTATCCGTGGGGACTGTAGGAGAGGCAACCGAAAAGGCAAAGGTTTGTTCTCTGCCTGTCACTCCATGCATGGAACTACCCAGGGAACCCTCAACGTTAGCCATCCCTTCCTCTATTCTCTTCAAAACTGGATTGTGATAGTTGTTTCAGATTAGGGAAGTTGAAAAGGCTAAGACTTAGAAGGCAGTATATTTGCTTTTCTTGTGAGAAGTGAAGTCGGGTTCTGTAGTATTTATATTAAAGTTTCTGTTGACATTGTAAAACCCTGAATAAGCTATTTGAGATTCCTTGACTGTTCTGATAGTCTTGGGCCATTCCTATTTGAATAGACAAAAAGAAAAAAAAAAAGAAGCAAAGAACTCTTCCTCGTATCTCAACTTGCTGTTACTTCAGACTTGGAGGGCCCGTCGTGTAGCTCAAGGATCACCATGTCCTTTCAGAACTAGCCGTAATTTTCAGGACCATTAAGACGGCCTCCACGATTCTGATTATTTGTACAGCTATCTTGCTTAAGGTAAGACAGTTGTTGTAATCACGTTGACTAGCATTCCGCAGTTTATAGAGCCATCTGTTTGTTTCAGAGTGGTTAGTTTGAAAACGAAGGTGATTTAAGATTTTGAATGAGTTGACAAAACATAATATTAATCTTTGTGAAGTTAATCAGGATACTTGATGTAGATGTGCTTATGTTATCAAGTCTCATCATCTTCAAATATTAGCCCTTGCTGAGTGACGAGGAATAGGGCCACCGCCTTAAAATGACCTTGTAATTATCATTGCCGTGAACGCAACTGGTAAGCCAAGGCGTCTCATTTGGCAACGCCATCGGCATGGAAGCTAGGAGATTTTGCGTTGCTTCTTGAAAGATGAAGAGATGATCATATATGCACACCATTTACTGAGATATATATGCAGAAAAATATTACATTAGCCTATGTTGACGCAAGGTATACGAAAAAAATAAAAAACGTTTCATCAAGATCTAGGTTACAGCCATAAAAATTAGTAGAGAAAACTTTGTTTTAATATATTCTAAAATGTAATAATTTTAAAATTATTCTTAAAAAAAATATACAAATTATGTAAATAGTAGCCAAATTAACATATCCTATAAAGAAAAAATAGATTGAAAATAACAAAGAAAAATAATCCAACAAATAACAAGAAATTTTGAAATAATATTTTTTAAATCTATTCCTAACATTAGCTAATGTTCACAAGCCTGACGTCACCCGACATGAGCTAAAAATAAAGCTTGTAGAACATGATAACTAAATTTTAGCCTAATTCAATAATTAAATTAAAAATTATATTTTTTATCGGAAAGCTTATTTAACACATGACTTCTTCTTTGATTTGGTCTTGTTCATCTAGTTTATAAATGTGTTTACGAAAACATTCGACATCACATATAAGCCTAGATATACTCTTTTAGTTTTTGGATTGTGATCATATAAGCCTAGATATACTCTTGTTGTTTGATGTATCCATAAATGCCTTATGGTTCTATTCTAAAAAAAGACCCACTAATAAAACTTTTTATTGGATTATAAA